CCCCGCGCTCCCGGCGAGCCCAGGACTCCGCCCACCGGTTTAGACTCAGGCCGGTCCTGCCCGAGACCCGCGCCTCAGGGCGCACCCACCGGAGCCTCGGAGCCTCGGCGCGGCCTCGCTCGCGTGGGAAGGCGGTGTCTGGTCCGGGTTGGCAGCCGCGCAGTCTGCACCTGGCTCCGGGACCCGAAGGACGCGGGTCGTCCCCGCCTTGCTGCCCCGGCCACGGAGTTTCTGCTGGCGGGCCAGAGCCAGGGCGTCCCGGGCGCAGAAGCCCCGAGAACGAGGGCGCCCTGGCTGCAGCCCCTGCTCGGGTGCGGGGCACACCGAGTGCGGGGCGCCCCGAGTGCGGGGCGCCCTGTGGCTTCTCTGCCGCCCCCCCCCCCAGGCTGAAGGAGATCCCAGCAGGGGGAAGGGGGAAGGGGGGCCGCACAGCTGACAGCAGCCCCCTCAGCCCAGCAGGCATGTGGGTCAGGGCGCCACGCTGGGGAAGGTGGGCAGATGGCATCCCGCGCTCCCAGGCCTGCTTGGGTGGAGACAGCTCGGGAGGCTCGGGCTTCAGGAGCTGGGGAGGGGCAGCCACAGTCTGCACGGGGAGGGAGCCCCACCAACGGGGTCAGGGAGCGCCCCAGCGGAGAGCCCCGGTAGCCGTGGAGACCAAGGCAGAGCAGCCCGGAAGGATGGCAGCCCCAGGGGAGCAGACCACGACCCAGCGCCCAGGAAGAAAGGGTCTCAGCAGAGGGGGTCTCGCTGCCGACGCGTGACACAAACAGAACGGGCCGGTGACGAGTGCAGCGCACCCAGGGCAGGAGAGGGCTGCGCTCCTGCGCCCGCCTTCCAGCTGAACACTGAGGAGCAGGGCTGCGCTGTCCTCGGAGCAGAGCAGCGAGGGGCTGGCCCACAGCCTGGCTGCAGGGGACAGCAGCAAGGATCCGACGCTCTCGGGTGAGTACAGGTAGTGCTGCGGTGGTTGGTTATGAGTTGATGAAACCTGATTCAACAGAGACCTTTCCCCGCCTGGATCTTGGCCCTAGATGCCAAGCTAGCTGTGTGTAGTCCTGCTGCACCCGCGATCCAGGAGCAGAGCTCTGGATACAGTGCACTGCCTGCTTCCGGCGCCTCGGCCACAGCCAGCCACAACCAGCCTGGGCACCGCCCACCACCGCTCCAAGTCCCGGCGCTCCTCAGGCTGACTGGGAAGGCCTCTTCGAGGGGGCAGGGAAAGGGAGAGGGGAGGGAGAGAGAGCGAGCGCCTGTGCTGGTGCAGGGCAGAGGCTGTGGAGGCACTCGGCAGTTCTTGGGGCATCAGGAAAGGAAAGGTCAGCAGCACTGGGGATCCATGCAGGGGTCCTGTCTCCACAGCAGTTCAAGGAAAACACAGAAAACAAACACGAAAAGCCATGTGGGGCTCTGGTCAGTCACAAGACAGAGGTCTCTTGGGGCTCTGAAACTGACCTTCGCTGCTCGCTGCTCCATGCTAGCTGCTCAGACACAGCTCAGGTGCTTGTTCTGCTGGTGCCGGTGACCTGGCTGTGGTGGGCACATCCTAAAGAGGCAGAAGCCTGCACTGGGGCCTTGGGGAGGAGATGTGGAGGCCAGAGGTCAGGTCCAGGTGGGGCAGGGCTGCTTCCTCGGGCCGGGAGGTGCTGGCTGGCCTGGGCGTCGCCCCAGCACTGGGCACTGGCGTCTGGGCGTCCTGGGCACACAGATCCTCAGCCGCCTCCACACTTCCTCCTCACACACCTGCTTGTGAACCTTTACAGGCACAGCAGAGCATCGGCTCACAGCCCTGCCTCCCGCCCATCTGCAGTAAGGTCCTCCGCTGGGATGCTGGGCTTGGGACCTCCTCTGTGGACGCACCTGCCAATGAGCCATCCCCTCTTCAGAAGGATGGGGCGCCCAAGCCCTCCTGCCCGGGGCCCCACGTCAGGGAGAGTGTAGCTGGGCAGGGGAGGTGGTGCACAGCAACACCCCTCCCTCCAGGGTGCCCCTGGGGTCTCAGAGGAAGCAGAGGGAGTCCAGACAGAGCTGAGTGCCACGACCTCTCCTGGTGCCCGAAGGCTCTGGGGGGCAGCAGGCGGGGAGGGGCATGGTGTGGCCAGATGAGGGACCTCCAGGGCCACCT